CCACAGGTGTGGTGCTTGATGCTTCACTTCTCAGCAAAGGTGCTTGACGACAAGCTCAGACAGCACGGTGCCCTTGGGGGGGTCGCCTGGAGGGAGCTGCCGTGGGTATTGAATCTTAATGGGCTTCCACTGCATGCTGCTGTGCTTTTGCAGGGTGCGAACCACAGGTGCCAACGTTTGCTCAGGAGTTTGTTTCTTTCAGCCTACTCCCTGCAACAAAGACCCGCATCCAGAACTATCAGAACAAATAGAAGCCTCCGCTGCCAGTCAGCAACGAGGAGTAGAAGGTCTGAATGTCGGCATCGCCTCGAACTCGTGCTTGTCAGCGGCCAGCGCGCCACGCTACAATCACAGCGTGCTAAAACACACCAGTAGCTAGCGCAGCTTTGAAAATAGCAATCAGCCAGCCCCTACTCCGTGTGTGCGTGTGTCTCGTTGCCTGCCATTCTGGCATCACCTAGGTGGAGCTGCACCAGGCCCTTTACAATCTCAGGCTTCCGCTGATGTCATACTCACCGCCGCCGCGCGCCTGAAGCAAGCGGCAAAGAGGTAGTGTTACAGCTCTGATCGGGTCTTGCATGATGAATGTCATCAAGAATGCAAGAAAAGGCGAGCTGCACGGAATCTTATGGTACCTCTTGGGATCAGGGATGACGGGCATGAGACAGCGTAGACTGAACACTGCCTTACAAGGCTTGGCTCTATGCTCCGCAGCCACCGTGGCACTCGCGTCACACTCACCTCCGGCCTGCAGCTGCGTTCGGGGAGCCTTTGGCGTGGCCGGCGCAGCCACGAAAGCCCCGAGCCGGGTGACCACGTATCCTGAGGCCATGGGGACGGTAAGCCACGGGCCTAGCTCGAACCCCAAATCACCCCAACACCTATAACACCTATCACCTCATGGCATACCCCATGGCATCCTGCGGCCACCAGGGACAGGCACACAAGAGCTCGGCTGGAGCGAGGCATGGCGCGAGCTGTCGGGCTGTGGGGATGTGACAACGAAGGGACCGCAGCGAGCCGCAAAGGCTGCGAGACTTCCACCTTACGGCGATGAGAACTCTACTCTATGTCAAGCTTCGCTCTTCGTCACTCAGACTCGGGACATCCCTCATGATGCTAGTTTTTTGAGGATGTCGGTACTCGCGCGTCGGCTGGACAGCATGCCTGCAGATTTCATGGACTTTGGATATTCCCCTAAACATAAGCCTGAAACCAGCCTTCGCACAAAGCCGGTACAAACCGTACGGTAACCCCGAACACCCAGAAACCGAAAGCTTGGCCGAACACAAACCCTTGGTTTATGTAGTAGATTGCCATACGATTTGCGTGCCATCAGGGCTTTTTAGGTTCTAATGGATCTGGCTCTCCGGACTCTGACGCCTGATACCTAAGCTGAATCCTTGAAGTCATAAAGCATCCGGGCGACAGTTTCGACGATCTCGACGCAATCAGCTTTGACCTGAAAGCAACATCTAGCAATTCCCGGGTGAGGGGCTTCGGTGTGGGGTCTGGGACTTCGGCGCTTTAGGATTGTCTATAATATGGCTGAGAATTCAAGGTTTAAGGGCTTAGGACTTAGAAGTTGCATTTCCAAGCTTAGCTTGCCGTTCACAGGTCTGGGAGGCGGGAAGGGTAGGGCGCAAGCTTCCCAAGCAGAAGCCAGTCAGTCACGCTGCTGGGCAGGCCGGGGTGAAATTGTCAGACGCTGAGGGCTTCGCAGGCTGAGGTGCCAAAGAGTTGCTTTGACTCTACGGACACGACCAGTCCTGCTCAACCCATGCAAAGCGGGCCATTCTCCTAAGCACCTGCGTTGACAAAGACCTGTTTGCCAGACGAAAAGCTTCTGCAGCTGCGACTGTTATTGGCCCACATCCAACCCCTAAGAAAAGGCAGAACCCTCGTCAATCAAGAATCTGAACAATCAACCTCTCAATCCTTAACACCACTCGCTGAACACGTCCTTCCCCTGACATCACGGATTCCGCACAATCTTTGGTCCTTGCTGTGGCCTTTGTACTACCGGTGCCCATTTTATTAGAGCAAACTTTTTGGCTGGGCTATATCATGACGGATATAAGGCCTATAGTCCTACCAAGGTCTAATACATGCTGTCGGCCCTTGTTTGATTTTAACAAAGTTTTGGCTAGGTTATGTTATGACAGCAGAAAGGCCTCAAAGGAATTTCATGGAAGCTCCCCAAAATAATCCTTATATCATCCTGAATAATAAGAACCCCCTTATCCTTCTAGAGGCCCCCCAATTTGACAAATTCCCATATTGTTTATTCAGGCTCCCGTATTGTATAGAGATTAAATATAGGGGTTATAATTAAATAGGGCTTAGATAAGGGTTACATAGGGGCTACACAGGGGTTCTTGAGGGGTTATATAAGGGTTACATAAGCATGAATTGACAAGCAGTTTGGGACGTCTGAGGCTGCGTCTGTGGAAGATGGAGAAGCACTGCGGTCAGTTGTACTGTAGGACTCCTTCACCTCGAACACCACCTGAGGGCGTTTTGTGGTGGTTGAACCAAGCAAAATAGAATTCTTCCTATAAAATCGCATCCTCAACAAGTGATCTTACTCTCCATTGGGGACCATGGCAACTCGCCGGCTCTGAGGAAGCACCACGAACATGCCATATGGGGGGAAGCTTAACGTTGGAACGCAATGGAGCAACGAGTCTGCGAGATTGCTTCATAATCGTTTGACACGACTGGAAAGTCGCAGCCCAAACAGCACGCACTTTCCGGTGCTCTTCCAACAGCCGCGCTTGCAAAGAACGCAGCCTTGAGTATGCTTCATCTAAGGGATATAGTCTATAAATCCCTAGTATCCCCCTTAGGAACCCCTATAATATTCCCCCAATTAGCTGATATGACTATGGATGGTTGTGCAATCTAGAAGTCCTGTCAGGACCCCACTCTCCACCCTGCTTAGGGATGCGAAGTGGAGGGTGACTTTGCTTGCACACTTCCCGACAAGAAGAGGTCACCATGTAGACGAGTAACTTGAATCCCCGGAACTTCTCCAAATTATCCGTATGCAATCCCTGTAAAAGATCCCCACAATCCCGTCATAATCCCCGATATACCCTCAGGGTCCCATCCCTCCAGGGTAATTTCCCAAAACAAGGGGACCCCAACGTAGACCCCAAAATACTATGGTCCTTATTACGGGGGCCCCCAAAAAGGTGCCGCTAGTTTTGGGAAACCCTTAACCACTACACCCTAAATAACCCCAATTTTTTTTTAAAAAAAAACATGTCCCCGCACAAGGCATGGCGGGCTTCAGGGATTGCTCTTGACGAAGCGAGAACTTGACTGGGAGTTTCTCCCAACAATCATGGGCTTTTGGGGAATCCGGAGATATGGAGAGCTTCTACAGGGATTCTGGGGTTAGGGAATGCGGAAGGGTACTGTAGTAGTACATTTTGGGGAAGCTCCCACCTCCATCTCGAATCTTGTAACAACGGAGCATTGTTCAACATTATTGAAAGTGTGTAATCGTCTTTTGGAAACGTTGGCGTTCTGTTGGTGGCCACCCTAAGCCCTTAACTGTGTGCAAGCCAAGCAGCTCCTCTGCCAAGCGGACCTTGCGCAGCGAGGCTTTTAAAACCATATCATCTAGCATCTCATACATCTCATAATTTAACAGGTCATGTTGGCATGACTGTTAATGACAATGGTTACATGGTACATGAACCGAATTCGTGTCTCTGTCTATTCAAGTCTTCCCAGCGCATTCAAAAATCGGCCCATCCAAGTATACTCCTTTTTGTGGGGACCCTGAAATGGCACCTTCAATTTTGGGAAACCACCATATGGTGCTAAGCACAATTTCTCAAGAATCTCAGCCTCAAAGGGATCCGCACCAGCTGGCGTTGGGAGCTGCTTCGCGTCAACCATTGCGAACGTGCAATGGGCCAGATTCAGTTGAATTTTGTGATTCACTGAGCCAAAATAGGAATTTTGTTATTTGGTGCACCTTCCTGGATTTCGAACACCGTCTCACGCCGACATAGTTGACAAGGCCATTGCCCCAACCAGCCACCATCGAAGGCACAGTTTTCGCTCAGTAGTTCAAGAACTTCTATAATATAGCAAGCCGGCTTCTCAATGTTGTCCCCTCTAATGACTAATGTCTTGACGTTTCCAGATGGATATCGTGCAGAGGACACTCGATTCAGATGGAGAAGCCTGGCAATCGGGAAAAAGATTTCCTTCCCCCATGCCCACAGAAATGTCCGTTCGTCTAAGCCTCAAGCACTTGAGAAATTGAGCACATCTTGTCAGTTTTTGGGCCGGAGGCAGGATTCTAAATGCGCACGCAATGCCAAGCGCTCTGCGCCTGACAAGGTGTGCTTCCGCCCGTTATCTGCAGGAGC